GGGGCCCCCCTTGGGGCCCCCCCCGGGGGCCCCCCTGTGCGCGTGGGTGTGGGGCCGTTTCGTGTGGCAGCTGCGGGCGTTCTGGGCGCTGTACGTGTTGAGGGCCCCCGCTGCTGGGGCCCCTGCTGCTGCTGCTGCTGCTGCTGCTGCTGCTGCTGCGCTGCAGTGCACGTGGGGCTGCGGGCTGCTGCAGGGGGCCGTGGAGCAGCTGCTGCCAGCAGCTCTTAAGGCCCTCGAGGGGGCCCTGGAGTTGAGGCCCTGGGAGTTGGGGATCGTCTCCTCCGCCTCCCGAGTGGCGCATGCAGCAGCAGGTCCTTTGTGGGGTTTGGGGATTGACACTTTCGGGGGTTTGGGGGCCCTTTCTGCTGCTGCTGCAGTGTGGGGTGTTGCGCTGCTGCTGCTGGCTGCGGCGCAGAGCCTGCTGCAGCTGCTGCTGCTGCTGCTGCTGCTCGGCGCCGCCACTGCTGCTGTGGGGCCCCTCTCCCAGAAGCTCATTGCCCAGGCTGCTGCAGCAGCAGCAGCAGCAGCAGCAGGAACTGCTTTTGGGGCTTTTGCTTTCCTCCAAAGCTTAGGCAGAATGCTCGCGCTGCTGCTCGTCACTTCCTCCGCAGACTCCGTCTTCGCAGGAGTCATGGTCAGCAGCAGCAGCAGCAGCAGCAGCAGCAGCAGCAGCAGCAGCAGCAGCAGCAGCAGCAGCTGCAGCAGCAGCTGCAGCAGCAGCAGCAGCAGCAGCAGCGCGTGCGTGTCTCTGCACTCAGGGCTGGCGCTGGGCCTTCATGGTCTTGGGCCTCTTGAGCTTGGCGTTGGCCTTCTTCAGCAAAAGGGTTTTGTCGGGGGCCCCCGAGGGGGGACCCCCGGGGGGCCCCCAGGGGGGCCCCCAGGAGGGGGGGCCCCCCGGGGGGGCCCCCAAGAGGCCCCGGCTTGGGGCTTTGTGGGTCACTTTTAAAGAACTCCGTTATGTGCTTCGAAACAAGAGTTTCTGGCTAATGCTGGTTATGGTACTCCAAACCCTAAACCCTAAACCCTAAACCCTAAACCCTAAACCCTAAACCCTCTGCGGCCCGCCGGCCCTCTCCCTTAAACCCTGCACCGACCCAGCTAACCCTCCTAAACCCTCCTAAACCCTCCTAAACCCTTCTAAACCCTTCTAAACCCTTCTAAACCCTCCCTAACCCTCCTAAACCCTCCTAAACCCTCCCAAGCCCTCGTAAACCCTGCCAAACCCTTAAACGGCGTAAACCCTCATCCCTGTCTCGAAACCCCCCAAAACCCCTAAACCCTCGCGCCCAGGGAGCCGAAGCGCAAGGCAAGGCCCCGGGTTTAGCGTTTAGGGTTTAGGGTTTAGGGTTTGTGGTTTGTGGTTTAGGGTTTGTGGTTTGCGGTTCGTGGTTTAGGGTTTAGGGTTTAGGGTTTAGGGTTTGCGCGCAGGGGGTGTTGAACGGAGTGCCTCGGAGCGCGTTAGGGTTTATGCCGATGTGGCTGCAGCTTTGTGGTTTAGGGTCTGGAAAAGCCTCGGGGGTTTTGGCGGTTTCGTTTGCTGCTGCAATGGGGGTTTATCTTGCTGCTGGGGTTTTTGGGGATTTGCTGCACCAGCGGTTTCCGCTGTGGGGCCGTGCTGCACTGGCGCAGGCCGCGCTGCTGCTGCGCTCGCTGCTGCTGCTGCTGCTGCTGCGTGCTGCTCCGCGGGGCCCCACACCCCACACTTTTTGTCTCTTTTTGCTGCTGGCAGCTTTAATAGGGTTTATGGCGGGCTGGCCCGCGCTGGGGGCCAACAGGCCTTTGCTGCTGGACATCGTGGCCCCCAGCCACAGAGCCACGGTCTTCAGCCTCGTAACCCTAAACCCTAAACCCTAAACCCTAAACCCTAAACCCTTGGCACGCCGGGCACGCCAAGCGCCAAAGCCCCACACCACCTGCTTCCCGACTTACCCACAAACCCTAAACCCTAAACCCTAAACCCTGCCAGCAGCAGCAGCAGCGGCAGCGGCAGCGCCGCCAAACCCTTCGCACGGCCCTCCCCCTAAACCCTAAACCCTAAACCCTAAACCCTTCACAGCGCGCGCGCCCTAAACCCGAAACCCGCGGATGCGCTGCAGCAGACCCACACGCATTAAACCCTCGCCAACACCCAAACCCTAAACCCTAAACCCTAAACCCTAGACGCTCGGATTCCGCCCCGAAGGCGGACCGCACAAACCCCAACTCGCGGCGATTAAGCCCAAACCCTAAACCCTGAGGCCCCCGCTCTCGCCCCAGAGGCGGACCCCAAACCCTAAACCCTAATTTAGGGTTTCCCCGTGTGCTGTGGCTGTGGCCCGCAGGTTTCAACCACAGAGTCCGTGGGGGCTGCGCTGCTGGGGGCCCCACTAGTGGGGCTGCTGGCGGAGCGGGCTTTTGGGTACATTCCAATCAAGGGGGGCCCCCACGGGGGCCCCCCTGGGGGCCCCCCGGGGGCCCCCGCAGCGGGGGGGGGCCCCCCGGGGGCCCCCGGGGCAGGGGGGCCCCCAGGGGCCCCCGGGGCCCCCCAAGGCCACCCCGAAAACGCCGAGGCCCTCAGCAAAGCCCTCGTCCTCACTACTGTGGGGCCCTGGATGATAACAATTTGTATTTATTTTCTTTTGATGGGGACTTATGGAAAAGACAGGAGGCGGGCGCTGCGGCTGGCGCAGCAGCAGCAGCGCAGCAGCAGCAGCAGCAGCAGCAGCAGCAGCAGCAGCAGCAGCGCGGCAGCAGCAGACCTCGAACTCGGAGAGCTGCAGGATGAAGGCGCCGACAGCGACCTCGAACTCCTCAGCCTCAAGGGGCCCCCAACCCCCCACGAGGGGGCCCCCGACGGGGGGGCCCCCAGCAGGGGGGCCCCCAGCAGGGGGGCCCCCACTAGGGGGGCCCCCACAGGGGGGGGCCCCCTCTACGTGAAGGTTGCTTCTAGTGTACATACACCCCGAGAGGCAGACGCAGAGTGTCCTCCCCTTGTAGCAGCAGA